ATAACATGTGTAGGTTTATACCACCTAACACGGGTTACAACGAGGGAGTATTAATTGCTGTATTGCATGCAATTTTAATTGCATGTGAAAACTTATGGGCCGACACTGTTTTGAGAATACAAACAGAACTTCATTGTTGCATAAGAAATACATATAAACATTTGCTGTGTGTACCTATTTACCTAAGTAAAATTTCAGATTCTTCTAGCAATGGCCAAATAGGGTTGTTTAGTTTACCGATTCAAATAAATCAAATGTCAATTTTTAATATCATACGTAATAGACGTCATATTTGTACATGATACGATGAAATATCGAGGTAAAAAAAACACAGAAATGGGATCAATTTGGATCAGTCATTATACAAATAAGGCCTAACGACACCAAGCGATTTTGACAGAATTGTCTATGAAAACAAGTTGTAACTCGGAAACTAGGCAAAGCAGGAGACAAACTTATATGACAGTTGATTGTGAGAACATATAGCTTTCATTTTCCACAACAGTTCTTACGATTTCAGGTTTATACAAACCTGTAAACAAGATAATTTACCCCCCTGAAATGTAGATGAATTCTGCATCGGCCCTCATATCTATTCCTCATATGACGTCACAGAGACGCCCCGCTCTGATTGGTTGAAATTTCGTTCGCGGGTGAGAATTGTGCACTGTTGTCAAAAGGGTCGATTTAAGTTGATTAAAGATCGAAGTGAATAGTTTTAATGACGGGGTTTCATTTATAGCGATGCCAGTTAGTGATTTATGTATTTGTACCCCCCTAGAGTATATGTGATCTTTAACTTTGTGGATTTTATACCGTTACATTGACATGCTGGTACTGAAATGAAACGACTTATAATTTATTCTTAACATGATATTCTTTGGCTGATATGCTTACAGGAGTAAGACCAGTGATGAATAATTCAATCGCTACCAGTTACGTCAAACACATATGGCAAGTAGAACCTTGTTACTTTATGACTAAAGAATAGACACAGTTAGTTGGTGTTACATGGACTGAACTAAATACTCATGGAATCAAAGAAGGGACATGCCGCGTTGAAATGAAGCAGAAACAGTCAAAATTAGCAAAAGTGCGACAATGCGACATTCTACCATTGCTACGTGAAATGCTCGAATTTGACTGGTCAATCAATAAAATCAGACGGTATCAATTTTGGATTGACAATGCGTCTGATTTCACGGCGTTTCACTGCGCACTACTTCAGCTTGGCCACCAACATGACTAATATGAACACAACAGACGTGATGGAAATGCTGATAAAACATTTACTAAAACTCGGAAAATACAATTATACGATTTCTCCTCCACAATTATTAGGGAACCTATCATAATTATTGCCTTCTATTATAAAAATATTCAAACTCAATTACAATACACAGCCCCAAACATAAACAAACAATATCTTACATATAAATCATATGACATTTACCTACCTGGTAAATGTTATATTTGTTTCCGGGGTAAGACTTCCGCCCGTACCCCCCTAAACTTTAACGATGAGGAAAAATCCTTTGAGTGGCATTTTCAGAAGTTGGATATGTCTTTCAGGTATGTTCAGATACAATTAAAGAACCATGTTTAAATTCATCCTTATCAGACGATGATATATATATTCAGGTGATATGATTTGACTAGAATGAAATTTAAGGGGGGGTACGGGTGGGAGTCTTTCCCGTTTCCGTGTAGAATGGGAAATTCGCAAGATAACGATCAGGCGAAACACAAACTTTATGCCACTCATACTCCATCATGTCCCGTTGCATCGTTCAAAATGTCAAAAATTGAACCACGAGAATTCCGCGCTCTGCCACCTTCCCCGCAAGGCTGTCACTGCTATGTTCGTACACTTTGAAAAAAGCTTGGTTGGCTACAATCCAGTACCAAATAATGAGAACAATGTTCCAAGGAATCCCAAGTTAGTCGCATGTACACAAAGCAGCACTGTCACTCCACGCATGCCGGGGGGGGGGGGGGGGGGGGGGGAGGCTACGCGTTCGGCTTCAAATTAAATTTCGAGACAATCTGTTCGGTCTAACATTTATCTAAGTTCCAAACACAGTACGTTTATCTCCTAAATCGGCCTTCTTGAGTTACACAGGTAATAGTGTTCAACCTGAAGGAAGCTGTAGTGATCAAGGACTTGCAGAAAAGACGTTAGCACCGAATGCCATCCACGATCATATGAGTACAAACATAAGGGAAGGATGGACCTTCTTATTTCATCAGTATTAAGTAGTGGGCAGAGGAGCTGGCTCGTGGAAGAGTGAGTGTGTATGGTTTTACACAACTTTTAGCAATATTCAAACATGGCGGGGGACACGAGAAATGGGCTTTACCCATTGTACCCTTGTGGGAAATCGAACCCGGGTCTTTATCGTGACGAGCGGACGCTTTAACTATCACGGTACCCCGTAGCATGTCATTCTTGATTGGCAAACCATTCATACCAAAACCAAAATCAACAGAAAAAAAATACAAAAAATAAATAACGATCTAAACATGTTTCTAGGTTACATTTTCTAAATTTGAAGAATCAATATTATGAATGTTGACAAAGAGTGACTTCATTTCTCTGTGATTAGACTTAAATGACAAAGCAAGTAACTTACCTGATTATAAAATGAAATACAATCACATCATCTTTTTGAACTGGTTGAACAACTGTTATATCTGAGTTAGAATCTTTCATGGATCATCTGCAAATACCACGCACGATAGTATCACAGGACGAGGAAAAATATAGTTTTAGATATTACACTGTTTCAAATGTGAAACAATTTCAATTACGGTATCGCAAATGCTGCCTTGGAATTCAACCGACATAGGGAAAATACGTGTAAAGACAAAGGTCTTCTTGACAATGTTACTTGCGTTTCTCTTTGTATTAGTCATTGAATTTGAAACTTCACCTTCATGTTTGTCACCTCTGACCTCTGACCTATAACCTTCACCTTTAATATCATGATATATAGCCCAATGAACCTGAAATACCTCAGCAACAAAGAGCAGAAAATATTGTTATGAAATCATTAGGATATTGCAAATATATTGGAAAATACAACAGATATTAATACAAAGAAACTTTGTCAACTCACAAACGTTTGCCACAGGGAACGCCATTGTATCCCAAATCACACAGTCGGTGTTTGATGAAAGCCACAAGCTCACAAACAACGCACGTGCAGCCTGTGACGCACGATCATGTCAGTTTCATGTCCCCGTTTTAAGAACAAATCTAGGCATGGTCCCCAATATAAAAAGATGAAAAAACCCGTTTAATTAACTTAAACGTTAATACCGTAGCCAATGTAAATTTACTATGAGGAGAATCAAAAGCTTATGAAATGTAAGGATAATTATGGAAAGAAAATAATGGACAATCTTAATACCTTTTGAAGGGTTTGAATAATGAGGCACAAAAGAGTGAGGGTGTGAGTTTAGTTTTATGCCGCTTTTAGCAATATTCCAGCAATATCATGGCGGGGGACACCGGAAATGGGCTTCACGCTATACAGTCGAACACCGTTGTCTCGATATTCATGGGACCAAGAAAAATATCGAGTTATCCGAACTTCGAGACATCCGACCAGGGCATATCATCACATATCACTATGAAAGAAAACAAAACGCTTCTCAGTATGTTTTGATTCGAAACTATAATCCGTTATCAGTAGTGTTTAGTCGTAACAGTGAGTACTTCCTAATTAATTCCTTCTTAATTAATCCTAATTAAATAACAAACAAGTGACACCTTCAACTCAATTAGCCCTAATTAGTTTACACTACCGCATCCCTTTGATTCATGCCGCACCGTGTGTAAACGTGTGGAAACAACCTCAGTTCAGAGGGATACTTGCCCATGAAAGGTAGGTGAATATCGAGTTTCTTTGCAAATATCGAGTTAAAAGGGTAATTTTGCTTGTTGGGACCATGAAATTATATCGAGATATCCGAAATATCGAGACATCCGTATCGAGTTAAAAGAGCTTGAATAATGATAAATTATGAAGGATTTTGCCGGGACCGAGATGTTATATCGAGACAACCGAGATATCGAGTTATCAGAGTTCACACAAAAAATGGTCAGCAGGATCACCGGGTGGTCGTGGAGATGATCTCTACGTGTTTAATCAGGGGGTCGTTATGCTGATAGATTGTTCATTTAGCTGAATGTCCTCAGGGTGGAACAAGGTTGGGACAGATCTGTGTGTGCATCAGCGTCAGATGATGGTTGGAACTGGTCTATAATACTCCCGCTGACTGACTGCTGTGAGTTGTGAGTACAGGTCGATTTATATCTTTTTAAAAAGCCCGTATATGGCTGATTTTAAAATTTTAAAATTTTAAAACTGTAATAATGTAAAAAAGTATAATGTGCAGAAATACTTTTCGATCTGCGAAACGTTAGGTTTTGTTTGTTTGTTTTTTAAAGCCGCACTCAACAATATTCCAGCTATATGGCGGATAATGAATAATAGAATCTGGACCAGACAATCCAGTGATCGACAGTCTGAGCATCGATCTTGACAGTTGGGACACGATGGCATGTGTTAACCACGTTAGCGACCCTCATTCCCTGATCCCAACCATGGATTGATCAAATCATTTATAACACGTATCTTCAAGGGGCGGTGGGGTAGCCTAATGCTTAAAGCGTTTGATTCCATGCATGGGTACAATGTGTGAAGCCCATTTCTGGTGTCCCCCGTCGCGATTTTGCTGGACTATTGCTCAAAGCGGCGTAAAACCATACTCACTCATCCACCCGTATCTTCAAGGGCTGCCTCCACTCTGCTGTCGTGTACACGAGTAAAACCAGTATTTGTAGCAGTCAGTTTAGAAATATTTACCTGAGTCAAGATTGTCAGATATTCACGGTGTCTAATTACATTGAGATCATTGTCATGTGCAAATGTTCAAGAAATGTTTAAACTCGCTCACTCACTCACTCACTCACTTTTTGCCAGGTATTCACAATGCGTCCTACGAGGGTCCACGCGGAGTCCAGTCAAGTGAACATGTCCAGTTTCTCCGCGGCGTCTGTGCGGTCAAGGGCGGAGCTGGACGATGCTGTCAGGAAGATGTTGGGGGGTCATGGAAACCGACTTGTGGAACTCTGTAAAGGAAATCCAGTAACCAACTCAGGTACTACCTCTACTACCTCTACTACTGCTACTGGTACTGCTAGTATTACTACACTCAATACTACTCCGGATTCAGTAAAAGTATTCGGATATATATTTACAGGGAAACGTATTCACCTATACATTTTACAGGTAAAAGTATTCAGATATACATTTTACAGATAAACGTATTCTGATATACATTTTACAGGTAAACATATTCAGATATACATTTTTCAGGTAAACGTATTCAGATATATATTTTACAGGTAAACGTATTCAGATATACATTTTACAGGAAACGTATTCAGATATACATTTTACAAGTAACGTATTCAGATATACATTTTACAGGTAAAAGTATTCAGATATATATTTTATAGGTAAAAGTATTCAGATATACATTTTAAAGTAAAAGTATTTAGATATATATTTTACTGGAAAACGTATTCAGATATATATTTTACAGGTAAATGTATTCAGATAAATACATTTTTGAGGTAAATGTATTCAGATATACATTTTTGAGGTAAACGTATTCGGATACAATACCTTTCAGGTAAATGTATTCAGATATAATATCTTACAGGTAAACGTATTCATATATACATTTTACAGGTAAACGTATTCTGATATACGTTTTACAGGTAACCGTATTCTGATAAACGTTTTACAGGTAAATGTGTTCAGATATACATTTTACAGGTAAAAGTATTCAGATATATATTTTACAGGTAAACGTATTCAGATGGCGAAGATGTTGACGCTGACTATCATCCCCACCGTCATGCTTGTCATCATCTCCGTCATCGACGTCGTGAACGTGTCAGCGCGCAACCAGGTCGGCCATAACGTGCAGGACATGATTCGACTAAGCACAGAGGTTGGCAAGTTCATCCATTACATTCAGCGGGAACGAGGCTACACTTCACTGTACATTTCGGCCACCCCCAGCGCGGGGTCTGCTGAGCTCATGAGGAACAGCTTCCGGGAAACGAACCAAGCCCTAGCGTCGCTCAGACGATGGCCTGGCGAGACACAAACACCAATGAAACTATTTCCCACGAAAGAAAACTTTTTGCTTTACCTTCAAGATCACAGAGATACGTTGCTTACCACCCCTGGAACGACCTCTCTTTACGAAGAGGTAAAGTTCTACAATAACGTTGTCAAGGCGTTCATATCGTGGTTGTATAAGGCTATACAGTTCTCGCAAGAAGGAGATACCTGGAGAATGATGGTTGCCTATCAACTGCTCTTAACAAGTAAAAATGACATGGGCGTTGAAAGAACGCTCGGGAGTGTCTTTTACTTGACTGGGCAGTTCGATCAAAGCTTCTACCTTTGGTATCTCCGCAAGAAAAATGTCGGGAATGGAAACTTTGAAGCCTCCAAACTCTTTTCACCTCTTGTTGGGCCCTATTTTCAACAAGACCTTGAGCAACAAAAGCAAACCAACATCACCAAACACATTGAAAGCATGCGTGAGGAAATAAGTACGAGCAATGGCACAGTACCCGTATCGGCCGATAAGAGCAGGTGGTTGTTCGACAACATGACTGTATATCTCGACGTCCTGTTCGACACGCAGCTTTATCTTGCTGACGCCATTCTGAAATCAATGGACGCTGAATTCACAGAAGATATACAAGACATATCGGCGAGCATAGCTGTTCTGTGCGCCATTTTGGTTATCTGCCCTTTAATAGTCATATCGGTGCGTGCATTGGTGTCGGATATTCAACGGTTCGCGTTCACGCTCGCTGACCAAACTAAGGAATTGACACGGGAACGACACAGGACGGAATCGTTGCTGTACCAAATGATTCCAAAGGCTGTTGCAGACCAGTTGAAGACCAACACAGAGGTGGAGGCGGAGAGTTTTGAAACAGTTACTATTTTCTTTTCGGATATTGTCGGATTTACCAACATTTCGTCCACGTGTACACCGATGGAGGTGGTGGCGCTGTTGAACACCTTGTACACGTGTTTTGACGCCCGTCTCGAGATCTACGATGTCTATAAGGTGGAGACAATTGGGGATGCTTACATGGTCGCTTCCGGTAAGTGGTTTTGGTAAGTCGTGTTTTCTCTTCCGGTAAGTTGTTTAGTTGCTCCCGGTAAGACACGTGGCAGCTTCTAGTGAAAGATGTGGCCGCGAAATATTTCGGTTCTGTCTGGTAAGTCATTTAATTAGTGAGTGAGTGAGTGAGTGAGTGAGTGAGTGAGTGAGTGAGTTTGGTTTTACGCCGCCTTTTGGCAATATTTAAGCAATATAACGGCGGGGAACACCAGAAATGGGCTTCACATATTGTACCCATGTGGGGAATCGAACACGGGTCTTCGGCGTGACGAGCAAACGTTGTAACCACAAGGTTACCCCTGCGCCCAGGTAAGTCATTGAATGAGTGAGTTTAATTTTACACCGCTTATAGCAATATTCACACAATATTACGATAGGACATGGGCTTTACACAATATACAAATGTGGGGAATCGAACCCTGATCTTCGGTGTGATGAGCAAACGCTTTGACCACTAGGCTACCCGACCAACCCGGTAAGTCATTGCAGGAATGCAAGAGATTAAAAACATTTTAAGGTCGACTATTCTGGTCTTGTGAAAATGTAATGATGTTTACTTACAGGTGGTTTGCCATCGATTAAGTACTGGTGATCACACTTTTTTGTAGTTTCGTGATGACCTCGCCCTTCGATTGAAACTGAAAATGACGTAACCTGCAAGCAGAATCTAGTTTGTGAGCTTTCATTTCTCGAGTATATTTCGTTCAATTAGGTCGAACACAAACCTCTTCGTGAGCCATCTGATTTCTTTTTTCTCAAATCAAACAGAATTCACCTGATAGACCGATAAAGCCGAACAGTGTTGATTGCACAGCGTGAGCGCCAGCAGTTTGACATATCGACTGTCTTGATATTCAAGGAGCGGACTGTTTGTCTTTTAAAATCCTTATAATCATATTCGTTAACACCTGGCGTCATCCCCGATTTTCAGTGATCCATTACTCCAGTTTCACAGATGCCTTGCCTGTCACGCCCATATACTGTGTTATGTTTGCAGTTGCTCAACCCACACAACTAAGTATTAACACGCACAATAGCACGATCATTTTGTCAATTTTCATGCATGTAAATTTCGAATTAAGATTCACATTTGCGATCGGTTTCAGTTTGCTGTGTATTTGGTATTTATTTCCACTTATATTCATATTTACATGGGGGGCGGTGGGGTAGTATAGTGGTTAAAGCGTTGGCTCGTCACGCCGAAGACCCGGGTTCGAATCCCCACATGGGTACAATGAGTAAAGCCCATTTCTGGTGTCCCCCGTCGTGATATTGCTGGAATATTGCTAAAAGCGGCGTAAAACCAAACTCAGTCAGTCAGTCAGTCAGTCATATTTACATGGGTGACAAATTAAGATGATACACTCATTCTCATTAGATACCAATTTTACGATATTCAAGAACTAGTGTCTAAAATATTCATTATTTATGACAGGATTTAAAACATTCAGTCGGTAAACATAGACCAGTATTCATTATAGGTGATCCGGGTGTTTGCACTTGTGTTCATTAAAAGTGTTTCCGATATCTGTACACGTGTCAATTGACGGTGTTTAGTTTTACGCCGTTTTTAGCAATATTTCAGCAATATCACGGCTTGTGACACAAAAAATGGGATTCACAGATTATACCTATGTGGGGAATAGAACCCGGGTCTTCGGCGTGACGGGCGAACGCGTCAACCACAAGGCTACCCACCATCCCGTGTTCATTAATGGTGTTCCCGATGTCCGCACCGGGGTTCATTAAAACTGTTCCCCATGTCTGAAGTGTTCACGAAAAGTGGTCCCGATGTTTATACCTGTGTTCATTCAAGGTGCCCCTGCTGTCTTTACGAATGTTCAGTAAAGGTGTTCCCGATGTCTATTCAATGTTCATTAAAGATGTTCCCATTGTCTATATATGTGTTCATTAAAGGTGTTACCGATGTCTTTACGAGTGCTCATTAAAAGTGTTCCCGATGTCTATACTTGTGTTCATTAAAGGTGTTACCGATGTCTGAACGAGTATTAATTAAAGGCGTTACGTATGTCTATACGAGTGTCCATTAACGGTGCTACCGATGCCTATACAAGTGATCATTAAAGGTGCACCCGATATCTTCACGAGTGTTAAGTCAGGTGTTACCATGTCAGCTTGTTTGTCATGACAGGTGTTCCGAGAAGAAATGGCAACAAGCACGCTGTGGAGGTGGGAACAATGGCGCTTGACCTCGCACATCATGTGACCCATCTAGAGATCCCCCATTCCCCCGACACCCCATTCCGTCTCAGAGCTGGGGTTCATACAGGTGAGGAGTGATATAGTTGTTGTTTAATGCAGCACTCAGCAATATCCCAGCTATATGGCGGCAGTCTGTAAAAAATCGAGTCTTGACCAGACAATCCAGTGATCAACAGCATGAGTGAGTGAGCGAGTTGTGTTTCCTGCAAAGTTTGTTTTATCAATTGTCAGCCCTCGAAATCTGTCCACACGCATTACTTATGTCAGAGTGAGTGAGTGAGTTTAGTTTTACGCCGCACTCAGCCATATTCCAGCTATATGGCGGCAGTCTGTACATAATCGAGTCTGGACCAGACAATCAAGTGATCAACAGCATACACAACGATCTGCGCAACTGGGAACCGATGACATGTGTCATCCAAGTCAGCGAGCCTGTCCACCCGATCCCGTTAGTCGCCTCTCACAACAAGCATGGGTTACTAAAGATCAATTCTAACCCGGACCTTCACGGGTATATTGTCATAAGGATATGTATTGCACTCGGTATTGACAGTATGACAGTTGACGTAATGACCGACAACGATTTTGAAGGGCAATAGGATGCGAAATGTCGTCTTTGGATCACTAGAGCGTAATATCGGCGGAAGTTCTCATACATTCATTCAGCATACTGCATTTGAGTGCCCCAATGACGAATATAGGGACCGTGTACAACTCTTCTTGAAGCTACTGATCAATGACGTTGACGCCAACGTTTCCATACCACGTTCCACGTGTTCAATGGGGGACTGACTGACTGAGTTTGGTTTTACGCCGCTTTTAGCAATATTCCAGCAATATCACGGCGGGGGACACAAGAAATGGGCTTCACACATGTACCCATGTGGGGATTCGAACCCGGGTCTTCGGCGTGACGAGCCAACACTTTAACCACTAGGCTACCACACCGCCCCTGTTCAATGGGGGAAAGGTCTGGACTTGAATTGTGTGGGTTCCGTGTTGCTGTAGTTGCATTGACTATTTGATTTCGATGAGGATTAGCGTTGTCTTCCTGAAAGACAAGACGTCGACTGACGCGCCTTGCCAAACAAAGAGAATCAGGTGCCCTTATGCCACCGCTCAGTGACCACTCCTTGGACAATATGAGTAAGTGAGTGAGTGTAGTTTTTACGCTGCATTTAGCAATATTACGACGGGAGAAACCAGAAATGGGCTTCACACATTGTACCCATGTGGGGAACCCAACCAGGGTCTTCAGCGTGATGAGCGTACGCTTTAACCATTAGGCTATCCCACCGTCCCTTGGACAATATGTAGTGGGGTCGCCCAGTCCTAGTGATGCCTTTCCTACACCATAACCGACTCACCGCCAAACCTGTAATGAGGCGTCAATGGCGTTATTTCCACAGGTACGACCACACCTATCAAGGAAGTGTAAAATCAGTGGGGACTCACGTACCAACGACGAATAACCAAGTTTTGACATTGTGTAACCACTGACGTTGGTTGGCAATATGACGTTTCGTAAGGGACAAATAGGTAACTATCAAGCCTGAACATAAGCTGCATGTATTCGATTTCGAAAGCTCGATTTTGCAGAGCCGGGTTTCGGATCTATCGATCCTGTATTCTAGTTGTTGACCTGGAGCTGGATCGATCATCAACGTGTTTGTTGGTTGGTACCAGCTCCATAATCTGCTAATCTCAGGCGGTAAAATATTGAGCGTATTAACCACTGCACGCTGTTTTCTGCGCTTTCTGCGTTGGATGTGTTTTGCAAGATAACGTTCTAGCTAAACCCATTCATCGTCAACGCCTGTTCTATTGCTTGGTATCGAGATTTGTTTAATGCCCCCTGAATTTCTGAAGAGTATCTATACACACCTTTACACACACACACACACACACACACACACACACACACACACACACACACACACACACACACACACACACACACACACACACACACACACACACACACACACACACACACACTAACACACACACACACACACACACACACACACACTAACACAGCCGGATACACGTCATCATGAAAGAGGAATAATCTGGAACGTTCGCTAAACCTCAGTTAACCTTGCCACCATACCTCATACCCAGGAACACATGCTTGTCGCTGGCTTGGTTGACACATGTCATCGTATCCCAGTTGTGAAGATTGATGCATATGATGTTGATCACTGGATTGTCTGGTCCAGACACCATTACTTACATTTTGCTGGAACATTGCTGAGTGCGGCGTAAAACTGAACTCACTCACTCATAATCACGAAAATGTGTGTCTCAGATCTCAGTGGGGTTTGTTAGGTGAAGCAGTCGTAAAAGGAAACGAATGTCACTGCAACTTTACACAACATTATTTGGAGCAATATGAATAACGTGGACTTTTTGACATATTCTACTATTTTCATCCGTCTTGGTGATATTTTCTGTGGCTACCATTATACATTATATCAATTGGAAATAATAGAGGACAGAATATGAATACAAAATCTTATAAATCATTGGTTTCTCTGTCTCTTTCGAAACTATAGTGGTTGACATGATTCAGGAAAAATATGGCAAATATGCGGACCCCTCTTACAAAATGACATGCATACATCTTAACTACAAAAGTGGTCCAGCTTCCCATTGTTCTTTGTGGCTTAGGTTTGGTAGCTCCAAACTTACCAGTGAAGATCCATGTTAGAATTGATCTTCAGTGACCTATGTTTGTCGTGAGAGGCGACTAACAGTATCGGGTGGTCAGGCTCGTTGACTCATGTCATCGTATTCAATTTGCGTAGATCCATATCATGCTGCTAATTACTGGATTGTCTGGTCCAGACTCGATTATTTACAGACCGCTGTCATATAACTGGAATATTGCTGAGTGCGGCGTTATACATCAAACCAACCAACCATACAGCCTCCAGAACAACTTCGTTGTCTGACGGTTGAAGAGTTACTGGTTTGCTGCCAGGAACACAGCTCTTCTGGCACTTACAAAGCAGAATGCTGCAGTGTTTGATAGTCTACACATTCTCAGAAACGTTCTTGGTGGATTCGACCAGACAGGGCTTCCTTTGGATATAAAGGGGAGAAGGACCCTGAGATGATGATGAGCCAAATGAGCCAGACTCGATACATCTTCGTTAGATTATTTATTTCAATCTGCATTATGTATATTAATCTTTTACTAACGACAATGAACATAACTACGATGATGATGGTCATGATGATGTATTTGTGATAATGTTAAATTTCTTCCTCCCAGGACCAGTGGTGGCAGGTGTAGTGGGCTCCAAGATGCCGAGATACTGTCTGTTCGGGGATACAGTCAACACAGCATCCAGGATGGAGTCCACGGGCATGTGTAAGTACTTAGTGAGGAGTCACAAGTGAAGATACGGTTAGAACTGAACTTGAGCAACCCATGCTTGTCGGGTAATGTTGACTTACGATTGTCGTAACATGTAAGGTTGACTTACGACTATCGTAACATGTATGTTGAATTACGACTGTCGTAACATGTAATGTTGACTTACGACTGTCGTAACGTGTAATGTTGATTTACGACTGTCGTTACATGTAATGTTGACTTACGACTGTCGTAACATGTAATGTTGATTTACGACTGTCGTTACATGTAATGTTGACTTACGACTGTCGTAACATGTAATGTTGATTTACGACTGTCGTTACATGTAATGTTGACTTACGACTGTCGTTACATATAATGTGTATTTAAGGCTTGGGAAGGGAAGGGGGTATCAAATACCATCGGGTACCTGTCTGGCAGAAAATGATTTCTGAGGCAAAACAAAATGCACAAGGGATAAGTTTTCGCCGTGATAATCCGGGTTAGAATTGGTCTTCTGCAACCCATGCTTGTCATAAGAGGTGACCTTTCGGATCGGATGGTCGACTGCTTGACACATGTCCTCGTATCCCAATTACTCTTATCGATGCTCATGATGTTGACCATTGGATTGTCCGTTCCAGACTCGATTATGATGAGTTGGATGCTGTGTTTAACGACAATTCTAATATCAAACTGCACATTCACTGGATTTTGGTTGGCAAGAAGTTGTTTTATCTCCTTCTCAAGAGCATAAACGAGATTTCGATTCTTCTTCGTGGGTGACTTTCAAACCAAGTATGTTTGCACTTGTATCTTGCCTAACCTGTGGTATCTAAATGAATCTATTCACAGCTGGTTGTCACCCTTCGACTGGACTTGTCAACCAACTGCTCAGTTACATGTTAACATTCTTCGTGACAAAGCCATGTTTGGTGCCAATGGTGGTTGGGCACCATTCTCTATGGGTAAACTGCCACGGTTAATAATTATGAACGTGCTTATGGAAAAATCAGAGTACCGACCCTCCGTAGAACTGAGAATAATCTATAATTCAACGTGCCGTTTTGACTCAGTGGAATACTTGTCTGTAATTTCATTCATAGCCTTAATCTTATTAAATGTTTGCTCACTCAAACACTGTATTATAGTTTTCACTCAGTACAGTGTGTGTAAAGATAGATAGCCAGTTTGCTTCGTATTATTTTGTGAGATGTTCACCAGCTCGTTGTGTGATATGTGAGAAGCGCCCCACAATCCCCTTTTGTCATGTCAGTCACCGCGATCGGGTAAATGTGTGCCTATAGAGTTCGGCGGCTGTGTTATACGACAAAACATTCTGTGCCTGTATCAATATCTGCTGGATAAGCTGGAAGACCATCGATAAACACTAGTTGCCTTCAGTCCCATTCCACGGTAATCGATGTCCTGTCATATGTGTGAAGCGCCCCACAATCCCCCTTTGTCATGTCAGTCACCGCGATCGGGTCAATGTGTGCCTATAGAGTTCGACGGCTGTGTTATACGACAAAACATTCTGTGCCTGTATCAATATCTGCTGGATAAGCTGGAAGACCATCGATAAACACTAGTTGCCTTCAGTCCCATTCCACGGTAATCGATGTCCTGTCATATGTGTGAAGCGCCCCACAATCCCCTTTTGTCATGTCAGTCACCGCGATCGGGTAAATGTGTGCCTATAGAGTTCGGCGGCTGTGTTATACGACAAAACATTCTGTGCCTGTATCAATATCTGCTGGATAAGCTGGAAGACCATCGATAAACACTAGTTGCCTTCAGTCCCATTCCACGGTAATCGATGTCCTGTCATATGTGTGAAGCGCCCCACAATCCCCCTTTGTCATGTCAGTCACCGCTATCGGGTAAATGTGTGCCTATAGAGTTCGACGGCTGTGTTTAACGACAAAAAATGTTGTGCCTGTATCAATATCTGCTGGATAAGCTGGAAGACCATCGATAAACACTAGTTGCCTTCAGTCCCATTCCACGGTAATCGATGTCCTGTCATATGTGTGAAGCGCCCCACAATCCCCCTTTGTCATGCCAGTCACCACTATCGGGTAAATGTGTGCCTATAGAGTTCGACGGCTGTGTTTAACGACAAAAAATGTTGTGCCTGTATCAATATCTGCTGGAAAAGCCTGAAGACCATCGATAAACCACTTGTTGCCTTCAGTCCCATTCCACGGTAATCAATGTCGTGTCATGTGTGAAGCGCCCCTCAATCCCCTTTTGTCATGCCCGTCACCACGATCGAATAAATCTGTGCCTGTATCAATATCTGCTGGACACGTTGGAAGACCCTCGATAAACCACCTGTTGCCTCCAGTCTCATTCCACGGTAATCAATGCTGTGTGATGTGTGAGAAGTGCAACTCAATCCCCTTTTGCCATGCAGGTCAAAACGACCGTGTGAATGTGTGCCTTTATCAACATCTGCTGGATAATCTTTAAGATCCCCGATAAACCGCCGGCTGTCTTCAGTCCCATTCCACGGTTATCAAACGGATGACCAACCAGAATAAGCTGATTAAAGAATTCGAGGCGGAGCAGACTTTCAAACTGCGTAGCGTGTTAAACATCTGGAATCAGTTTTAACCCAGTAAGAGGAATCTCATGAGGAATCGGCATGTTGTTTTCCATCGTCCGTTTTTCGATATTCCACTTTCTGAAATCTAATTTTGGTCAGTCATTCAGTATGCCCTATAGTATTAAAGTCTGCAAAGTTGCTATGTCGAGTGTATTTGACCTTGGAGAGAATTTTAATTTTTTCACCAATAGAAGGTCGTTTTGACATTGATACAAAACATTGGGTACAAAACGTAACTGCCATATGATGCCTTATATGTGTTCGTGATCGATTTTTTTCCACCATCAGCTCGGTGTTTCCTGCACAGTTTGTTTTCACATTTGTCATCCCTCGAAATCTGTCCACACGTATTACTTATGTCAGAGTGAGTGAGTTTAGTTGTACGCCGCACTCATCAATATTCCAGCTATATGGCGGCGGTCTGTAAATAATCGAGTCTGGACCAGGCAATCCAGGGATCAACAGCATGAGCATCGATCTACGCAATTGTGATACAATGACATGTGTCAACCCAGTCAGCGAGCCTGACCGCGCGATCCCGTTAGTAGCCTCTTACGACTAGCATGGGTTACTGAAGATCAATTCTAACCCGGACCTTCACGGGTACTTATGTCAGAAATATTGGCAGGAAGCCTTGTGGTGATTCGAAATGTAGAGTTGCGTCCCTTAGGTGAACCAGAAACCTATGATCGTGTGTTCACGAAGGTGGTGTACGAAGCCCATGACGAGGACGACAACAATTATGATGATAAATACACAATGCCATTTAGAATGTGGTCAAATGTAAAATATGTTATATTTGGGATTACACTTTGGGATATCAGTAAAGAACAGATTCTAGTTCTTTTGTTGAGATGAGTCCCATCCGGGATTCGAACCCATACCCTCAGAGTCAGGCACCTGATCGCCACCACACAAAGGCAGCCGTCTAACCCGCTTAGCCATCGCGGCTTATGATAGAATCTGTACTTCACTGAGAAAGTGTAATCCCAAATAGATCATGTACTATAATACAATGATGATGATGATGAAAATGACGATGATGTTGATGAAAATGAAGATGATGATGAAGATGACAATGATTATGACGGTGATGATGATGATGATGATGATGAGGATGATGATGTAAATGACGATGATGATGATGAAGATGACAGTAATGATGATGATGATGATGATGATGATGATGACGGTGATGACGGTGATGATGATGAAGATGACAGTAATGATGATGATGATGATGATGATGACGGTGATGATGCTGAAGATGACAGTAATGATGATGACGGTGATGATGATGAAGATGACAGTAATGATAATGATGATGATGACGGTGATGATGCTGAAGATGACAGTAATGATGATGATGATGATGATGATGATGATGATGATGATGATGTAACTGAAGATGACAGACGATGATGATGACGGTGATGAAGATGACGATGATGACGATGAAGATGACAGTAATGATGATGATGATGATGATGGTGATGATGATGAAGATGATGATGATGAAGATGACAGTAATGATGATGATGATGATGATGAGACCGATCCACATGAGTCAAATCTTTGATTGAAAGGTCGACCGAGATATTTTGACAAAACGACACAATCATGAAGCTGTGAAAAATTACCAATTTCGTCTCTGATTAATACCACATCATTTGTTCCGATTTGTTGGTTTCATTTTATGACCCAGTGTTTGTTTCACAAGCGACACCGCACGCTATCGCTTGTCATCAAGAGCTGATTGATTGATCGTAATGTACATGGGTTCTGAGTAGTGCCACCAGTTCCCATCTCCATAATAGCAGAGCCAGGGGGGATCCGGCACCGTGATCTGTCACATGAGCTGTGTGGTGACAGCCGACGCGAAGTAATACTCCAAAACGACTGCAGATAATGTAGATAAAAAACAACACGTCTGTGATGAGTGGGAAATACTTGCAAACGTCAGTGTAATCAATCATGGAGATTTATCGAAAACAGATTGCCTTTCATGAAAAAATACACTCATAATTTGAGGCAGATAGTGCTATAGTTGAAACATTGTCTGTCCATTACTCGTCAGTTCGGAACGGAGAGTCGATGCCTTCGCAGAGACAAGACATGAAGAAATATATCAACGTACCATATACCACACAACAATGTAGACAAATATAAACAAGGTTTCAGTTGTTACGTGGTTAATCCACAGCCAACATCCCAGTCCTGTCAGTATTGTGTAGAGCCTCATATATCACTGACCCGTGGAGAGCCGAGTCAGACTTACTAGTAGTCTTCAGCTTCTTCGAAGCGACTGACGGGATTAGCGAGATGTGTCATCGTATCCCAATTGCGCAGATCGATGCTCATGACGTTGATCACTGGATTGGCTCGTTCAGACTCGATTATTTAC